GGCACTGTACTTTAAAATCTTTGCTGCTGTAGCAAGATAGATGATATTTCCACATGATTTTTTTTAATAAATGTAAATTATGGATAAAATGGTTATTAAATTACCAAGGGACCAGTCTTATACTTTAAAAACTCTGTTTGTCTGGAACTGTCAAATATAGACATTCAGTGAGAAAGATTGAAATTCTGACTATCTGTCAAAAATTTATGAAATGATGTGTCTAATTCATTTAATACTTTTTATTTAGTACAAAAAAAAATGTAGCATGAAATTTTACAGATTGGCTATTTAAACTAAATTTTAAAAAAGTGGGGAGAAGATTCTAAGTGGTCAATCAAAAACAATAGTTGATGAAAAGTGGACAACACCATGGTCAAAAGACACAAACAACAGTCCAAAAATCTTTACACTGAAAACCAACACAAACTCAATCCAAAAAACGGGTATCAAACTCCAGATTTGTTTGATGATAAATTCTCTGTATCAATTTCCATTTTTTAGCTCACCTGGCCTTAAAGGCCAAGTGAGCTTTTCTCATCACTTTGCGTCGGGCGTCTGTCGTCGTCCGTCGTCGTCATTGTCCGTCATTGTTAACTTTTACATAAATCTTCTCCTCTGAAACTACTGGACCAAATTTAAACAAGCTTGGCCACTATCATCATTGGGGTATCTATTTTAAAAAATGTGTCCGATGACACGGCCCGCCAACCAAGATGGCCGCCATGGCTGAAAATAGAACATAGGGGTAAAATGTAGATTTTGGCTTATATCTCTGAAACCAAAGCATTTAGAGCAAATCTGACATTGGGTAAAATTGTTCATCAGGTCAAGATCTATCTGCCCTGAAATATTCAGACAAATCAGACAACCCATTGTTGGGTTGCTGCCCATGAATAGGTAATTTTAAGAAAATTTTGCAGGTTTTGGTTATTATTTTCAATATTATTATATATAGAGATAAACTGAAAACAGCAATAATGTACAGCAAAGTAAGATCTACAAATAAGTCAACAGGACTTAAATGGTCAATTGACCCCTTAAAGAGTTATTGCCCTTTATAGTAATTTTTTAACAATTTTTTGTAATCTTGTACAAAAATCTTCTCCTCTAAAACTACTGAGACAAATGATTGTCCATATACGTCAAAACTGTTAGACAAATTCTTATAGGAGTTATTGCCCATAAATGACAAATTTTACCATTTTTTTCATTTTTGCCTATTATCATGAAAACTATGATATTTAGAGAGAAACCTTTTTTTTTCCGTTATGCCTTATATGATTTAAATCATAATAGATAAATAAACACTTTAAATCACAAAAATGATCAGCAAGGCAAGATCTATTAAAAACTCAAATTTTGCCGATATAGTTAGTAGACTGTCACTCTTCATAGGAGTGATTGCCCTTAAATGATGATTTTTTTTACCCTCTTTTGTATTTTGAGCAAAAAATAAAGAAGATAGAGAGAAACTAAACAGACTAAAAAATCAGTAATACTAGATCAACAAAATAGAGATTTTTGTCATGAAGTCTATTCTCGTCTACAATGTTGGAGAGTGTCCTTTGTTTGATATGCACATAGACCAAGGTGAGCAATACAGGCTCTTTAGAGCCTCTAGTTTGTAGAAAGTTTTGTTATTCTGCTACATAAAAACTATATATATTTACTTGTTCTAAGAACAACTTGTTATTACTGCTGAGAAAAAGATAACTTGGTGCATTAATGGGTATTTGTAGAACTTGACAAATCGGTTTTGATCCATCTTGTTGACCATAAGTATATAGAAAGAAAATAAGTTTCAATTAGACACAGACAGACGTACTAATGGCTCAGTGTAGAGATATATAGGATTTTTACTTTCAAAAATAAACAATGAAATGCTAATTTAGTTAAACTCACTTAAACATGCAATCAAAAAAATATAGTATATTTAACTAGATCACTATTAGTCTTGAAATCTTGAGAAATTTTTACAAATTTTTGTTGAATTTTGACCAAATTAGAAAGTTAGTTTTCAGACTGACACATATGCATATACTACAGATTAGTTTTTAGTTACACCATAATGAGTTAGTTTGTTAATTAGTCAGTCAACATTAATCATGTTTAGTTTTGCAATTTAATTTCAGACTGAGTTAGTTTATTAATTAATCAGTCAACATTTATCTTGGTTTGTTTTGCAATTTAATTTCAGACTCTTTTGGGCTATTCAGGCATGATAACACATGATGCAGTTGTAGGTTTATTTATTCAGGCATGATAACACATGATGCAGTTGTAGGTTTATTTATTCAGGCATGATAACACATGATGCAGTTGAAGTTTTATAACTACTGTGTTCTGTTTGTTGTGTCATTAAGTTTTATTCATATCTTTGATCATGGAAGCTCTTCAATTTAGTATCAATAGAGAGCAAGTATATGTTTCATTAATGAGCATTTTAAAACCAAATTGGTTAATGTATTGATTCTAACAGTCAAATTCTGTATAGTTTGGTGGATTGTTCATATAAATTGTTTCAGTAGATTAGCACAATTTATCAGACAACAGAAACATGCAACATTTAATCCATTTTCCAACTAGATCATTAAATGTTTGATTGCCAAGCCTATAATGGATTTCTAATTTTTTGTTTGCAAATTGGTTGTGTTCTGGGAATGCATTAGATAAGATTAAAGCATCAAAGCAAACACCACAACTCTTCTTATCCAAATGTAGGTTTTTCTAATTCAATATGCATGTAGATATTCTCTTGTGCAAGGTTCTCAACACTCTTTGAATCTTAGATTTCTTACTTTCTACCACTAACTTCTGCATAGTTTTAGTTGAGCTGCATTTTAAAATTTTAAAATACATGTTGTCGATTTCACAATGGAATCTCCAAAATACTTAGTAGATCTTTCCAGTTCTGAACAATTCAAAGTGACATTCACAGCAAAATGTGTTGGCAATCCTGAATGTAGTACAGCAGTTCACCATTAGAGGCAACAAATCATCAATACTGTTAAGGCAGAAATCACTTGGGATGTGTTAATTAAAGTTACTGCAGTAATAAATCTCTCATTTTATACTGTCTCAATGAAGTTTGTTATATATTAGAGAGGTTCCAAGTAAAGTGATATTGCATGCAAGCAAATGAGGGATAAACAAGATGGAGGAAATGGACATTGTGTCCTTACTGCAGGCACTAGAGCTGCAGGAATTGAAAGAAGTATCATCATTGTTACTGCAGTATTTGGTCCTATATTATAAAAGGGTTAATAATTGCTCTAATATTGAGGAATATTGTCACACCCAGTAAATCATTTTGCACCTGCAAGCTCATGCAATATGATATACTGCTCGGGACAATATTCCTCAATATAAGTGCAGTAACTGTTTATCCTGAAAATGAATAATCTGAATATTTATTGTCCCTATATCACATAAAATTTTAAATTCAGAATACAAAGATTTGACACAAAATGTTGAAAGGTTATTATTGAATGCTTGTAATTGATCCATAGAAATACTTGCAAAACTAAGTGGACAAATAATATTTTATGTTATTGTACTTGCATGAACAACATGTTGATGTGGTTTGACCATTGGCTAAGAAAAAAAATAAATAACAGTTCAATTCAATCCTAACAGGATCTCTTTTAGTTAGCTTATTTTTCTGTAATGTGTCCACTTTATTTTAAAGTTGCTTGACATTTGTTCTTTTGTTCATAGAAGGGCAGAATAACTATTTGTTGAGTTGAAAGGCCATACTTGAATTTTTGTGAAATTGACTTGAGATTGTTTGCTTAGCAATATTTGTGATGCAGAAACTTTCAGAGGACCAGATCTGGAATTGTCAGTTATTTCATCACATTTCCAGTTGATTCCTCTGTCCTAGGTTGCACAGATTTGTTTTATTGTAGCATGACAATGTTATAAATGGTTGGTGTGATATTTACACTACTTATTAAACAATGTACTTAGGTACTACCATGATATCCAACTTACTACCTCAACCTTTGATTTGAAGGTCTTTTTTAACAAACAAGCATGATTTTGTTATCTTATGATGTTTGGAATTTTAGTGTATCATCAAAAGAAAATGTGTTGCATACAGTTATGACCAACATGTGAACTTGACCTTTGAACTAGAGGTTAAAACTTGATTTGGCAAACAATTTGTTATTATTGACAGACTATATACAAGCCATTAGACAATGTTTTGAATACCTTCATGTTTGACATATGACCTTGAAATTTGACCAAGGTTAAATAATTTTCAAAGAGGTTATTCATTCTTTTGACCAAGGTTAAATAATTTTCAAAGAGGTTATTTCAGTCAGAACTTTGCTATCTTTTGATGTAGAATTATGACAAGTGGCATACCAATGTCTTCACTGATACCAAAAAATGCATAACATTGTCATTAACATATGGCTTTCACCTTTGACCTCAATGTAAAATGTTTAATTTTTAGCAAGAACCTTGTCATCATTTGACATTGACTTTTTATCTTTTCACTTAGACTTGATATTTTTGCAGATTATTGAGATATTATTAGACAACAGGTCATATAGTATTGTGACTGACATGACCTTACCAGTTGTCATCTCTGTCAGTTTTTGCTGTTCTTTTTATCCTCATACAATTATGTCTGCCTGAAATTGGGCCTTCAAAGGTGAGACATGTTAAAGTTCACAAAGAAAGGGAAATTCTTAGTCGAAATATACTCTACATAGTTGTCTGTTGGATATAAGTACTTTAATCTGATTTTGTAAATTATATTTGTTGAAATGAAATTAAAGAAATATTTTCTGTCCATTCTTTTTGTAGTATTTTGTATTATATGGAACATATTTGGCACTCTCAGTTGTCAGAATCATAATACATTTTGTCAGAATGAGATTTACTTGTATAAAGTGAAATAATTTTGTAGAAATTGCAGGCTGTCAAATCTGTTAGGGTTTATTGGATTCATACTGTATATTGATTCTATATAACAATATTCTTTACAGGCAGACTAGTTAGCATGCTCGATTGACCGATTCTCTGATTGTGGGCACTGGACTTGGATCTTCTTCAGAATTAGTGGTATCTTTATAGGATTAAGCCGTGTTAGGAGTAGACATAGACATTATTATCCATTGTTAGCCATAGATTTACTTTTACCAAGTCAGATGGAGATAAAGCATTGATTGCCTGTAAGTATTTTTATAGGTTTTATATGCCACCACTTTTTATTTGTTATTAGAATGGAATAAAACGTATTCAAAGATTTTTTTATGCAGCCAAGCTGGATCTATGTCATTAATCCAGATTTTAAGATGGCGAAGAATTCTGAATTGATGGCTTATAATAAGACCTGTGTTAATGACTTGCAGAAAGTATAAAGCCCTATTTTAAACATCTACTTCAAATGTTTGACATAATTTGTCCATAAATGCAAAAAAAAAAGTGATTCCAATCGAATAAAAGTTTTTAAAAATACAATTGGCTGCATAGGCCAGGGTTTTTTAAAATGTTAGTTTACAGATTTTTTTATATGAAAAAGTCGAGTCGGTCAGTTGAAAAAAAAACAAAAAAAAAAACATAAATATGTATTTCAGCATACTAACAGTATTTTTGGTATGCTATTTTGTCATCATTTTTTAAGTTTTAGCTCTTAATATTATTGCTCAGCTGTTTAAGACATTCAATGCATGTGTCGTCATTTAACTTTGTAAAAAGTGGAGTAACATTATGTCCACGGACAAACAGGAAAATACTTAGCCATTACACGAACGAGAAAAAAGCTACATGTTGCTTTATACTAATTTTCAGGCTAATTGGTGAGTTATTAATGAGCTTCAAGCTCGAAAACATGTGAAATAAAAATTGCGAACACGTCGCACGAAAATAATACCTTACCATCCTTGTCAAAAGCGAAGTAGACTTGTAAACCGGAAAGACAAGGATATCGGCTAATCTTTTGTCAAGCAATCACATTTTTGATATCCAAATGGACAAGTTTTTTTTCAATCTATGAAACAAGAAAATTCCTAATTGTTTGTGGATATCTCTTATTTTTAACTTGATGTCTGATGGAATTATGATAAAAATTTGAAAACAAACTTATTGTAACGAGATTTTAACGAAGGTTTCTTTCCGCAAAATTATTTGTGCAAACAGCATTTCAAGGTCAGTTATGATTGTTTATTTTTAGAAACACAAACCACGGATTATTTTTAGATTTTTGTATTTTTTTAGAACACAATGTGTTTCTGTTAATTATATAATTTTTAACATGCTAAAATAATGCATTTAATTTCATAAAAATGCTGCTAGGCAGATATTTTTATTTATATTTCAAGGATTATGTATTTGTTAGGGTCAGTGGGAATAAAAAAGCATGAAATATCAATTATATTTTTTTCTTGATAATTGGAAAAATAAGGTAGGCTGATCCGTACAAAACCCTGGCCATATATATTTCCTGTGTAAATTAAAAGAAATTAAACTCATGAATTACTCTTAATGATATGGTTAAAAGGTAAGATATCATATAATTTTATACGAAATTTTATAAGTATTTTATCAGTCTTTTATGTTTGTGGAAGTAAAATGAATAGAATTAGAATATGCTTTGCATTGATATCAAACTGGATTCCCACACTTTTTTTTCAATTACAAATAAGACGAACTCACAGAAAGGCTTCCTTAACACTCCTGTTGTAGTAAACACATGCTTCCAGGTTACAGACATGGACAAATAAGTACCTTTCCCTTTGTCAGTTGGCATTTCCTAGCCACCAAAAGATATATTATTTAGTCCTGGTGTTCAAACAGTCCTTCTCATCAATAATTTATTACTTTGATTTTTATAACATCAATTTGAAAGACAAAGATAATTCATTACTTGTGAAAGCTTGAATATAGTAAACTGCATATTCTTTCAAAGGAACATCGTTTTATGCAAATCTTTCATTGTGACACTAGTTTCCAACAATATATAAAGTCAATAAACTATGATTAAAATTACCTTTAATTGATATATTATCTTCATTGAAGGCTTATCTATATGTCCTGTACATGTTAATATTTTGTACAAGTAATTACTTGTATGATGCCATCATACAAGTTATTACTTGTATAAATAAAATTGTACAAGTAATTACTTGTACAATTTTTATTGTGAAAAAGATAATAACTTGTACAAATCATTATTCTACCTTGGCTATTTGATTTTCACAGCAAATCAGTACATTGAACTGGTATATCTAATGAATTTGTCAGTGATATTTACTTACTCAAGCTAAGCCTACAAAATCCAAACAGAGAGGTCAGTGGTGATAATGATGGCACTGTAGTATTTCCTGGCACATAGGGATAATGGTAGCCTTTTTAGAATTTTCATCACTTTCTTACACTGCCCAAACTTAACACAGTTAACTGAAGTACTTTCATTATCATATTCAGAAATTAATTTGAATATGCATGATGACTGTTTACTTTTTTTGCTATTTTTGAAATCTTAAAGCCACAAGTGCTTTTATGTCTTTTATCATGCAGTGAATACAAAATTTCAAAAAATTCTCAAAAATTCATTTTTCCCCTCTATGTAAAATTATTTCTAATTTTCTACACCAGATTTATTCCTCAGTTTGCGAAAGTATGTTCAGTAGATACTGTATTTTTGTCCAATCACACTGTTCAGATACGTTGACTTAAGTACAAAAAAGAGCAACCTAAATTCCGGAATGTAAATACTACCGTGCCAACTTATTGACACCTTTTTTACCTGAATTTATTTTTATTTATCTGGACAATATTTTTTAGTTTGATTTTATGTTCGTAATGCTTTCCTTTTATTGTAGCATATATCTTTTATTCGGGTTTTGTTCAATTCCGTTATTTCGCCCAATCAGAGTAAAGATTTGTGACATTATGCATGCCGTTACCATAGTGAAGCGTCCTTTATAAATGGGTCACACACCGAAATCATACTGACTGCATCAGAAAAAAGAAAGGAAAACACTTCTTAGTTATATTAATCTTAAGATCTGTATACTTTTTGGTGATGATTCAAAATTTTATTTTAGAGATATTGAGTATTTTGTTAAAAATGGGGGAGGGGTTTTTCACATGTCGCGCCGTATCTCAAAAACAGTTTATGATTATTGCTTAAAACTTTACACACTTCTTAGTTATATTAACCTTAAGATCTGTATTCTTTTTGGTGACGATTCAAAATTTTATTATTGAGTTATTGAGTATTTTGTAAAAAAAAGGGGGAGGGGTTTTTCACATGTCGCGCCATATCTCAAAAACGATTTATGATTATTGCTTAAAATTTTACACACTTCTTAGTTATATTAACCTAAAGATCTGTATACTTTTGGTTTTGATTCAAAATTTTATTTTTGAGATATTGATTTTTTTTTTTTAAAAGGGGGGGTTTTCACATGTCGCGCCGTATCTCAAAAACGATTTATGATTATTTCTTAAAATTTTACACACTTTTTTATTTATATTAATCTAAAGATCTGTATACTTTTTGGTTTTGATTCAAAATTTTATTTTAGAGATATTGAGTTTTTCGTAAAAAAAAAAGGGTGTTTTCGCATGTCATGCCGTATGTCAGAGACTATTTATGCTTATTGCATAAAAATTCACACACAAGACGACAGCGTATCATGCGCTCATGGCGCAGCTGTTTATTAATGATTGGATTATTTCCCTTTTTTATTGGTTGGAAAAAAATGGCGGCAAAGTAGTTATTTCATCACAGGAGTCGGGAATTTCCTTAAAACAGCTATCTTATTCACGATTGTGAACATTGGGATGTATCAGACAATTAATTTATATTATTGGCAACACTAACTTCACTTTTGACACGAGTTTAGTTTATTTTTCACTTTACGACGGAAATAAAATGACTTAGGGTCGGCGCTCAAAAATAGGGACGGTCGGGTAACCGTAAACAGACATATATTTTTTTTTGGCCTAAGCAAAAATAAACACTCCAAAAAATAAAAAAGTGATAGTAAAGAAAGAAAAATAACCCAACAAAATTAATGACAAAACCAAAATACTAAATCAAAAGAAAGGAGTTTTTGAATAAAACATAAAAAAAACACAGAAGGAAGAAACAAATATAACTCAAAGATAGTGAGTTGTACAAGTTATTATCTTTTTCTCAACAAAAATTGTTCAAGTAATTACCAACTGATTACCTGTACAATTATATTTGTACAAGTTATAATATCGTACAAGTAGTTACTCATACAAAGTTTTTGTACAAGTAATAACTTGTACAAAATAATAACATGTACACGACATATATATAAATATATATATGCAGAAATATTTACTTTTAGATGTTAAGATAATTTCTGTCATTATCAAACTGTTAGAATCATTTAAACAACATAACTCTTTGATTTCTGTATAGTCTGATCAATGTGATGATGTCTCTACAGAATTGGGACTGTAAATCTGATGCCCCATGTAGAGAGAGTGCCAAGAAAATCTCTTGTAACAAATCTTTGAGGGGTCAGTAACTGGCCTGTTGCATGGCAATATTTCTGACCTTATCCAACATACTATTGTTTTCCAGTGGAAGTCACCAAATAGAAATATTGTCACTTTGGTCTTCTGATCCGCAGTAAGACCCTTGCCAAAGTGTGGTGTCCGTTGGGATATGCAGGATGTACAATTAGTACGCAAACACGTCTGGTAAGAATTGGTACCTTAAACTTGATTCCTTGTGTAAAGAAAGTGGCATGCTCTCTGTATGTTAAGAGCCCTTGCAACAACTCTTTGAGAGGTCCGTAGGTAGCCTGTTGCAAGGCTAGATTTTTGTCCCTATCTTTACCCTCACTTTCCAGTGGCAGTCCAGATTTTCCAAACCTTAATTTCAGATGGCCTCTAGGAGTTATGCCCCTTTGCACTTATTGGCCTCAATATACTACTGCAACAGTTTTTAATCGCAACTCCTCTGAAACTACACAACAGAATTTCATGAAACTTTGTAGATTATAAGGACATAATATGTAAATGTGCATATTCACAAGAAATTTTTATCAGTTGACTTTTGTTGGTGTTATGAGTCTTTGAACAGGAATCTGGTGAGATTTTGTTTACCCAGTGACAATGTGGGGGGCGTGGGGTATGTGAGCGTGCTCACTAAGGTTCTTTAATTTATTCTCGTTCTGAACAGGCATGAAATATTTGCCACTGGATGTTAAGCAACCAGCAATCAATCAATCCAGTGGCAGTCCAAATTTGCCATCACTTCTTCCTGTCATCTAACCTTGCAGAACTTACCTATTGTATCAATTAGTAATAGTTTCTAGTCCTCAAAGTGCATGAAATAATTGCCACTAGATATTTAGCAATCAAATACAAATCAATCAATATATCAATGTGAACAATTTCACATCCCTAGATGCACCTTATTCAGTGTAGGTTACTTAATCTGAGGCTGTCTTATTTGTCATTTTATGTATCATTTCTAAAATTGGAAATTTGAAGACAACTTTTATATCTAGATTGTCATTTTAAAATATTACAATACAGTTATCTCCATTTGTCTCATCAAATTTCATTTGAAATTCCATGCCATGACATATTTAAGGATGATAAAACAGTCCCAATCCATACTTTTATGATACAACTTAACAATTTACATGAGTTTTCTCACCTCTGTTAATTGAATTTTTGAATTAATACAAGGCCTAGTAATCACTGTATTCCTTCCTTCAATAAAATAATCTATATATTCAAAATTGGTGAATAGGAACATACATAGGAAAGATAAGAAACTACTGAGGAAGGCTGTAATGCTATTTTCTCATGTCATGGTATCTGTTATTGTAAGAAATGATGACATTTCCTGATACAGAATTTACTCTCAGATGTCTGGGTGTAGGATTGAAATCATTGACACACTCAATATTTGTTAATGCATTAGTTGCAAATTACATGTAAATTATTGTCTATTATCTAAATTGACTGTATGCTTTATATAGGTTTTATTTTTTTTGTATAATAATTGTATATTGTTTTATTACATATTTGGTAACAGAGATTTTTACATAAATGAAATATAATAGAAACACAAAGGATATGGGGTATCCATCAATGACACTAAATCAGTACATGCTCAGCAAAAAACACACAAAAAGCAAAGGAACCACTTTTATTGCTGTTCTTCATCTCAAAGTCACAATGAAGCCTTCAACACGGGGCAAAAAAACTCTTAACCTCACTGCAAGTTTATGAATGGTCAGGATTTTTTAAATTTGTACAGACCAAAAGTCAGGAGTCTGTTGTTCAGTGGTTGTCATTTGTTGGTGTGGTTCATAAGTGTTTCTCGTTTTTTATATAGATTAGACTGTTGGTTTTCCTGTTTGAATTGTTTTACACTAGTCATTTTGGGGCCCTTTATAGCTTGCTGTTCGGTGTGAGCGGTGTGAGCCAAGGCTTCGTGTTTAAGGCTGTACTTTTACCTATAGTTGTTTACTTTTTATACATTGTAACTTGGATTGAGAGTTATCTCATTGGCAATCATACCACATCTTCTCATTTATACCTGCTGGGCTTCCAATAAAAAATACTTCGTAAAAGATACCAAATTTCTGATGAGGTAGGCTGCTGGACCTATTCCTATATTGATCCTTTGCTCCATGCAAATAAACATTAGAGAGGTTAATGAAGACGAGACTGCCATTGAAATACCTAAAAATTACATTCCATAGTAACAAAAAAGTACCTCAGAGAAAGTATTTAAGATGTAATGGAAATGTTGATTTATATTTTGAAGTTCTTGTAAAGCCAAATTTTCAACTTTGATATTTTATAACCTACATTCTTCCTAGTTATCTTTTTTGTTGAGCATGCAACATTTATGTCGGGAAAGCAAGACATAGCGATCCTAGATTCTGTCAGCGGTGGTGGCGTCAACATTTAGGTTCAGTCTGTGGTTAAAGCTTTTTTAGATTAATAATAACTTTGTCAAACCTTCATGGAATTTTATGAAATTTGGACAGAAGCCTGTTTATGCCAAAATGCAGTATTCAGAGCAAAATTTTGAAAATATTTCTTTTCATTTTTCCGTATTTTACTGATAAATGGACTCAGTTTTTTTAACAGTTAACATTCAGATTTAGTCTAAGGTTAAGTTTTTCAGTCATTAATAACTTTGTCAAACCTTCATGGAATTTTAGGAAATTTGGACAGAAGCTCATTTACAACCAAAATACAATATCCAGGGCAAAATTTTGATTATGTTTATTTTCATTTTTCCATATTTAACTGATAGATGAACCAAGAATTTGTATAGTATACATTTAACAACTATCACATGTATATAGTCTGGGGTTAAAGTTTGTTACACATCAATTACTTTATCAAACCTTCATAGAATTTTATGAAACTTTGCCAGAATCTTTTTTATGAGGAAGAAATAATGTCTGAAGCAAACTTTTGAAAATATTTTTTTCATTTTCAGTATTTTTCTGATGGAATAAATGGACTTAGTTTTTGACAGTTAACTTTTTTATTAACAGACAGTCTGAGATTAAACTTTTTTGACATGATAAATTTGTAAACCTTCATGGATTGTTATCTTGCTTGGACAGAAGCTTATCTTCAAGACCATGTCATAGCATTTAAAGAAATGTTTGATTTTTTTTTTAATTCTATATTTTATTGATAAATGGACTGACTTTTTAAGTCATCATTACACCTTCACACTGACAGCAGCAATCACAGGCGAGACACAGGGTTCCACAGAACCCCTTACGAATTTTCTTTCAATGAAATTCCTACTCACAGCTTCTTCATATTCTTTGGTGGTAACTGAATTGTAAGATTTCTTTTCCAGAAATTAAAACTGATTGTGAAATTTTTACATTGATGAAATCCTGTAATCAAATCTATTGATCTTGTGGACAAAAGCTATTGAAAATGAGGAATTGCTTGCACTTTGTAAAAATTTCCTTTCTTTAAGTAGTTCATTACTGTCAGCTATCTAAATTTAGATTGAACACATTACAATGAGGTAATCTGTTGACAAATTAATTACATTTGTCTTGTTTGACACCTTCAATTTCATCATTTATTATAGTAGAAATGGTTTTATCCCATAATCCTCTTATGTATACTGGTTATATTGATGAGTTACAGAATAAAGATATTTACAAATATCTGATGGGTTTACGATACATCTTTCATGCAAACACATTCAACAATATTTTTCTTTTTAGATTTTTGTTCTAGAGACTATATGACAGTATAATATTGCAACCATATCAAAATATTCATTTATTCACATCCTTCCTTTCTAACATATATTTTTTCTTCAATTTCTTTTATTTTACATTTTTGCATTTTTATACGCCTGTTTATGGGATGTATGATGGTATACCATTGTCCGTCCATCCTCAACATGTCGAACAATAACTCAATAAAGCTTTTACCAATTTGCATGAAACTTTGGTGAATTGTTTGTATCTATTGACATGAGCTCCCTTTCAATTTTTATAAATTTTAGAAGATTAAGTTTGTGAGTTTTGGGGTGTTATTTATTTAAAAAAGGGGAATTTTCCAGTTTTTGGAGAAAAAATCAAAAATGCTTTAAGCAGTTTGCATGAAACTTGGGTGAATTTGAATTTTTATGATATAAATACAGGTTTATATCAGCAATGTCTTTAAAGAGTTCGAAAATCAGTGCTGATCAATTATTTTTAAAAGAGTTATGCCCCTTGGAAACATTAATTATATGGAAAATTGCATTGTGAGCGACCTCATGTGTACAATTCTTGCCATAATTTTTATGAAACTTATATCAAAGGTCTATATCTGCAATGTCTTTAAAGAGTTGGAAAATCAGTGCCGATCAATTATTTTTAAAAGAGTTATGCCCCTTGTAAACATTGATTATATGGAAAATTGTATTGTAAGTACTCTCGCATGTACAACTTTTACCAGATTTTTATGAAACTTATATCACATGTTTATATCAGCAATGTCTTTCAAGAGTTAAAAAATCAGTACTGATCAATTATTTTTTACGTTTCCGAGTTATGGGGTGTTGTTCATTAAAAAAGGGGGATTTTCCAGTTTTGGGACAAAAACTCAAAAATGCTTTAAGCAGTTTGCATGAAACTTTGGTGAATTGTTTAGATCTATTGACATGAGCTCCCTTTTGATTTTTATAAATTTTAAATTTTACTTTTCTGAGTTATAGGGTTTTATTCATTAAAAAAGGGGGATTTTCTAGTTTTCGGACAAAAACTCAAAAATGCTTTTAGCAGTTTTCATGAAACTTTGGTGAATTGTTAAGATTTATTGAAGTACCGAGCTCCTTTTTGGTTTTTATAAATTTTAGATTTTATGTTTCCGAGTTAAGGGGTTTTATTCATTAAAAAATGGGGATTTTCCAGTTTTTAGACAAGAACTCAAGTGCTTTGAGCAGTTTTCATGAAACTTTGGTGACTGGTTTATATCTATTAAATAACCTCCCTTTGGTTTATTTTTATAAATTTCTGGTATGACATTGAGGAGTTATGGAACATTATTCTTTGAAAAAGCGTCGAGCGTATCATGCGCTCATGGCGCAGCTCTTTATTGCTATGGGTACAGTTTATTTGACAGAAATTGAAAATTTAGCTATTTCCTCCAATTCCTAACATTTGAATTACAGAACAGGTTACTTAAAATCTGAGACATTTTGAAGACTCAAGTTGAAAACTTTGAAATCAATTTCATCCTGTATGCATGTTGAAGAGTATATGCTTCTATGAGAAATTATACCAGTTACCATTACTGCATGCTGCAATAAATTTGTTCCATCTCATTTATCCCATAACAAATTTGATTTTGTGTGAAAACATGTCAAATTACATAAAGAATTTGTATTTAAATTTCTTGAATATAAAGTAAATTACCAGTTACATTAATAATTAATCGTGATCTTGATGAACCATTGAACGATTATATTTATGACTGTGAAAAGAGAATATTGATTCCTTACGTTTTGGTTATAACATATTCTGAGTATTCAGGACATTTCTATGTTTTTAATTGATTTATTTCTTCTTGCAGGTTATTCATATGAAATCTGTAGAGAGGTACCATCAATATTATTCTCATCTCGTTTTTATTAGAACTGGATTTTTCAGTGCATTCTTCATCACGAACACCTGTGTGTGCATTTCCTTTAAAATCATCCAAAATTTCGTTTTCAAGTTTCCGTGAGAATTTTTCTAGTGGAATGAATTTCCTCAGAAGAAGATTCAGTTCTGGGGATCTTCAGGGAGAGCTTAGGGAGGAAAATTCGAGTATATTAACGTTTAAAAAAGGACCTTCACCAAGTGCACCTAGTTCTCCTTCAAAAACTTTAAATGCAACCCAAGGAATACCGAGGGCAGGACCAGTACAAAACAGTAAACCAGCATATAATAAAGATAGATGTAAAATATTGTTAGTAGTTGATGATCAACATACAGACTGGTAAGTTAGTTTGTCAATGAACCATGAAAATGTTTTTGTCTTCTTCTTCTTATAAGAGCTTTCAAATACCATGTACAAATTTTTACATCATGATGCAAGTAGAACAGGCCCATCCAGTGTACATGGCGGAACACAGGAAATTGACTTTCATGCATTTTACATCATATTTTCAAGTTTGTTTGATGATGTCAAATTTGTCATTACAGGATATAAAAGTGCTATGTTTGTAGATGGAAAATTTTGTTTATATAGACAAATTGTTGGTTCATTAGATTTTGTGCTAATAAAGGCATTCCATAGTCAAGCTATTAAGGCTTAAACAACGTGAAAATAAATCGTCATAAATATGTTAGTATGATCTTCTTATATTAATCTTGAAAAGAAATCGCTGCGAAGTCAAATAGAAATGACTAAACCCGAAATAAAGTATCCGCGAAAAACAATTTGGTTTACAGTATATTAAAACATGGGGTGAACTCTGAAAGGGTCAGCAGTGAAGCCCACCATGCTACTCCAATTGAAATATGTTGAAAAGTCTAGTAATTAGACATCATACAATAGCAAATTGGTAAATGACTCTTGTCCTAACTCTTATGACATCACAAAATACATAAACCATCAAATCATATTAATTTTCTAACCTTAAAAATTGAAAGTGAGAGTTTAAAATGTCACATAATTTTCAGGACAAAAGGTAGACAAGACTTTTAATTATCAAAGACGGAACACAATTACAACACAGACATTAAATGATGAAATTAAGCACAATTACAACACTGAAAACTTGATTATCTGTAACAGTCTCACAACTATAGATGTTCCCAGGTGCAATCTTTTTCTAAAACTTAACATTTATTAAATAATTCCATTTTTGCCTATTTTGTCATTTCCCTTATCTTCAATGAAATGTTTTATGGTACCAAAAAAAAACCTAAAAAGGATTTTATTTAGTACTACCCTGTCTTCTGTAGGTAATATGACCAATAAGATATATATCTAACAACCTTATAAATGACTGCAATGGGAAATTGTTTTAAACAGAAAGGCAAAATTAGGATGAGACAGATTTTATAAGTAAAAATAAATTTCACAAATATTTTCAGCATTTACCGTTTTTTTTTTTACATGGGAAATCTAATCAATGGATTAGTTATATAAATTGATTGGTTTGAAGACCTAAAAAGTTACATTGAAGCTAATGAATCTACAGGAGATCTTTACACTATTGGCAGGTTGTGGGAGTTAATCCAGAGTGCATGACAGTGGCTGTCAATATAAGGAATTTGAGGACGTCCCAAGGGGGATTTAGTGACAGAATATATAAGTTAACTCTATAATTGGTGTCTTAAATTAGCCATAAAAAAATGTCAAGATAAGGCAATTTCAATGTTCAGAATTGATTAATTTAAAATCTAAACAATTATTGCTAATTGCATGATTTTAGTCTTTTAAGGAGAAATTTGATTATATAGAAGTTGAGTAATAGAACATAAGATTTTGTATCTTGTAAGATTTTTATGCCATTAATATTTGTATCATTAAATGGGTTAATGTAATTATATGTGCCTTTTCAAAGTGAGAAACCTTGTCAGTGATTGTATTTAGTTATATCTCTAAGCTAATTTGTTCTTCAGGGAGTTTAGAGTTGATTGCAGTCCTTTGATAGTCTCTGTTAGATTAAATCCATAGGTCTGTAGTTTCAGGCAATTTAGAGCTTGACACATGGTATAGACAACTGTCTATTGCCTTTTTGAGTATCAGTAATGGACTATTGTTGAGATGGACACAAAGTAATGCTTTTGATAACAGTACAAAAATTGTATCTTAATGTTATGATGGCTTATATTGCTTTGTGGCCTGAAATGTATTTTCAAAATGTTTCAGGTATCCATGACCTCATTTTCAAGGTTTGAATGTTTTGTATTCTTTATGGTGTGAAGATTATTTTTGTCATGTTTCAGGTGTCTTTTACCTCATTTTCATTGTTTACCTGTAGTATTAGGCCAAGTGAACTTTTCTCATCATTGGTCCGTCATCGTTTGTTAACTTTTACAAAAATCATCTCCTCTTAAACTACTAGGTCAAATTTAACCAAACTTGGCCACAAATATCATTGGGGAATCTAGTTAAAAAATGTGTCCAATGACCCACCTGCCAACCAAGAAAGCCAACATGGCTAAAAAATAGAACATAGGGGTAAAATTTAAGTTTTGCCTATTTTTTTGAAAACTGCTATAAATAGAGAAAAATCTGACGTAGACAAAAATGTTCAAAATGTTGAGCTCTACCTACTGTTTATTTACATCAAAACTATCAGGCAACTTCTTATATATGAGTTATTGCCCTTAAATGATGAATTTTACTGTCTCGAAAATTATAATTGATAGACGAAAACTGTATATAACAAAAATGATCAGCAAGACAAGATCTACAAATAAGTCAACCTGAATGAAATTTTGAGTCGACTACTTATTGAAGTTATTGCCTTTTATGACAATTTTTCCCCATTTTTGCTTATTATCTTGAAAACTGTAAAAGATAGAGAGAAACTTTGAAAAGCACAAATGATCAGCAAGACAAGCTCCACAAATAAGCCATAATGGCCGAAATCTTTAGTCAACTCATTATTAGGGCGGATGCACTATAGTGATCAGTCTGTCCGTCCGTCTGTCCGTAACAAATTGTGTCCGCTCTATATCTAGAGAACCGTTATGATTTCAAATTTTATATTTGACATGTATATTAACCAACACCAGAGGGTGTGTCATAATTTATGTACAACTTCCTAGGTCAAAGGTCAAGGTCAAAAACTATGTCCAATGATAAAGATACAATTTTTTTACCACACATTATTCACAGCAGGGCCCACAGAGATGGCTCCCATCTCAATGATATCTAGTTGCAGTTATTGCCCTTTAATGATAATTTTTTACATTTTTTTGCATTTTTTGCGTATTATCTCGAAAACTATAATAAATAAATAGAAACTTTAAAAATGAAAAATTATCACCAGGATAAGATCTACAAATATGTCAACATGACTGAAATTGGCAGTTAACTTGTAATAGAGTTATTCCCCTTTAAAGGGGCATTAGCTGTCAAATTTATGTTCACTGATTTGACTCAAATTCTCATAGTTGATGTATAACATACTAAAACGTATATCTTAAATACAAAAAATCTAAAATAAACAATTAACAATGCATGGACCAGATAATATAAATCAGCATTTCATGTGTATTTTGGGGGGCCTCGATGGCTGAGTGGTCTACGTAGTCGAATTACTATATCTCTAGCCTGTCAACACTGAGGTTGTGAGTTTGAATCCCTCACGTGGCTTTTGCATTTGACTCCAATCTTGATTGACTAGGATTGTTTTCCTACCGAAGGTCAGTTGTTCTCTTGCTTCCTCAACCAATAAAAACTGACCGCCACGAATTAGCACAATAGTGTTGAAAGGAGCATTAAACACCAATCAATCAATCATGTATATTTTAGTGTAGACGCCATCTAATTAACCATCTGAAGACTGCCGACGGTCATATAACCAGATATAAACATAGATATAAATAGATAGCGACCACATGCAATTGGATTTTTCTTGGTCTATTTGATTTCATGCTATAGGTTTAAACAATATGTTAATCATCATTTTTACCTGTATAAGAATGATTTTTTGTGGATCCGATCAGTCAATGGAATGGTTCACCCTTGTTTCACTTTCAATGTTGACATTCTTTTCCTTTTGATAGCCGAACACACCTATTACATGCATAGCCCATCTCCAGCTAAGGGGTTAAATTGAAGTTCACATGAGATTCACTTGCAAGTGAATAAAAAATCAGTGATGTTTTTGAGCTTTTTATATTGACAAATTTGGGCCAAACTAACTGCTTGTAACGAAATATTATTTAAAAATTATGCTTTTATTGATACTTGAAACAAAAAGAATTGTATTCAAAATTTTTGTCTAACTCATAGCTATTACCCATTTAATGATGATTTTTATTAAAAAGTGGCCATTTTTTAAGATACAGGTGAGCGACACATTCTCTTTAGAGCCTCTAGTTTTTGACATGGACCTCTTTTTGATGGTTTGGTTATTTTGTGAAAATTGCCTCTGGGTACGGGATTTTCTTGCTATGTTGAAGACCCATTCATGGCCTTCAGCTGTTTTCTGCTCTTTGGTCGGGTTGTTGTCTCTTTGACACATTCCCCATTTCCATTCTCAATTTTATTTTATTTAGCTTTTTTTTTTCTTTTTTTTTTCACAATTGGCTGTTTCTCATTATATAATAATGTTGAATTTTCTTAGTTAGATCATTTTTGGACTATAGATGTCAGGTAAGGTGCACAAATCTTTTTGTTATAGGTTTTTGTAAGTAGGAACTGTGTTATTCCCTTACTGACTTTCATGAAGGAAATTTTATATAAGTTCAGGGGTTCAAATTAGGCCGAGAAAAAAAAAATCTGTGTTTCCGGTAACCCGACCGACCCTGTTTTTTTAGCCCCGACCCTAATTTTTTTATTGGATCTTCAAAAAAAAAAAAAAAAAATTGGTATCAACCGACCCTGTTTTTGACACAGGGTTCTGTTAATCGACATAATTATTTATCTAACTGCACAGAAAGCCAGTAAAACATTTTATTTATGTCAAAAGGTATTCCAAATAGGTTAAAATCCAAGAAATTTGCACAGCAGGTGCTTCAAAAACATTGCAAATGGCCGCACTTCCGGTATTTGAAACTAATTACAGACACGGACTTCGAAAAACCTTTCCGGATTTCGTTATGTGTTTGCTTAAATTCTTCACAATTGATTTGATGTGCACTCACATGAACGGTTGTCTTACAAGATACCAGGGAAACTGGAGAATATATCATTAAAACATAACTAGTTAACAGTATAAGTCTTTTTGGTTTTGGGGTGACCTCTTCTAAAAGAAAATCTGATGAAACGAGTGATACAGCGTGTGTGATTGAGAAAACACAGCCAGAAAG